GGGTGGTGCGACCTATTTTTAGTCTCTACAGCACTTAGCAGATCTGATAAATGTTTGTTGAATGAATAAATAAATGAAGGTATTGTTTTTGAAATTCAGCCACAAGGATGGTAATAACTTATCTGACTATATATCTAGGTATGTTAAGGAGTTAAGAATTTCTTCATTTGACGTATACTTGCCTTATATATATATTCTATTTTGGATTTGGTCTTCTCCCAGTTATAGGTTCACCTTGTCTTGTCAGTTCTTATGCCCTTCTGTCTTTCTCCAGTAGTGGATTTGTAATCAGCCCCAAAGGAACTGTCTTAGAATTGGGATCTGAAGTTTTAGCAGGAAGCCCTTCAGAGTTGGTGATCTGAGGAGTGTCTTTGCCAGCTGGAGCTTAGAACAAAGAAAGCAAACAAACTCTTGGCAGATTCTGAAACGCAGCTTTTTGCTTCTTCAGAAATTGTGATTCTAGTCAGTTGATGCTGACTTAGAAATGTATGCAGAACTCACAGTCCAGCAGCCATGAATTGCAATCACTTTTGATACCTGCAGTGCTTCACTAATAATTGAGTTTGTAGCCTACTCATTGGAATATAATTTTAATAAAATTTGGGAACTGGGAAGGTCTTTTTACTTGAGATAATTTCATCCAATTTCTTAATTTTATAGGTGAGGAAAACTCAGGTCACATTTCTAGTTAATGATAGATTTGAGCTCAGGTCTCATTATTTCTAGTCTAGTTCACATTCTGTTTAACAGCATCTTTCAAAGTTATTAGGGAATGTTAGTGTTAGAATCGTGCTTAGAGGCGTAATATAATACACTTTTCCTTGGTGTTCTGCAATTCTCCATGCTTTGGGAATAAGATCAGTGATTTACCAGAAGGTCCTGTGCAAGTTTTGCAATTATTCATGGGACATTTTTTTAAATAAGAAAAATGATAAGCAAGTTTACACTAAGGACATTTCTTTAAAGTCATTTATTTCAATAAGTCATAGGTGAATGTGACAAAACAGTGCAAAAGGGCTCACAGTGAAAAAGTAAGACTCCCCTCACCCTTATTTGTGTTTCTCCACCCCAAACACCACTTGCTTCTTAGACATTCTTCCGAAGGAAACTCCACTCCCCTTTTTCAAAAGCATCAGAATTCTGAGCTTCTTCTTTTTTTTTTTTTTTTTTGTCTTTTTTCGTGTCCGGCAACGGATCGCAACCCTCA